AAAAAAAAAAAAAATTAGGTTTTGCACATATCGTTCGTATAGTACCGATACGTATCGTATTGTAAAAACGTATCGTGTATCGGACAATAAAATACAAAAACGATACATAACTACGATCCGTATCGTTTTAGGCCTGTATTGTGACGTATCGTACGATACGTATCGCGTATTGTACGATACTAACAACTATGATTTGCACACACGCACTATCTATTTGTATGAATGATTGATTGAAATCTTTTCATACATAGTTGCATTAGGATTTTGGGGTCGCCGTGAGATTAAGTGTTTGAGTAAATTAGTTAAATATTAATTAACATCAATCTTCATGGGTGTAAGGGATCGTGGTGATTAAAAGGGATTCTCATTAACTAATTAACCAATTATTGTGAGACAAGGTAATTGTAATAGATTAAGTTTTAATTTATAATTAATTATGCTTAAAATTGAAAAACCTATTCACCCCCCTTTGGGTAGTGTCATGCGCACTACATATATAATCGTGAGGAAAAATCTACTTCGTTTCTCCTCCCTCCCAAAACAACAATTAGTAGCAGAGCGTGTTGCCTAGAGTTACACGTAGATTGTTAATACTAGTTAGTTTTAAATGGAGTCTCAAAAAGCTGGAGGTTCAATTAAATGATCAATATTTTTCGATGGGTTTAATTTCACGTATTAAAAAGCTCACATGAAAACTCATAGTTGAGTGTGCAAGAGAGTTGGAGCCCTTCCATCATAACCACACCGGTAGAAAATGGTGAAGTGTTGGCTGAAGTGAAATCTCAGTCAAAAATCGAGAACAAACAAGCGGCGTACTGAAAGGAACTCTAAATGCTTGAATGTGATATTCAATGTCGTGAAACCGAATGAGTTCTAGAGAATCGCTATTGCGAGATTTCCAAAGAAGCTTGGGACATTTTGGTTATTTCCTATGAAGGGACTTCTATGGTGAAAATGTCCAGTCTCCAAAGGTACACCTCTCAGTTTGAGACTCTGAGCATGCAAGATGATTAAACATTTAGTGAATTTTACGCTAAATTATGCGATATTATAAATTCATCTTTTGCATTAAATACTAAGGTTGACGATACTTCTATAAAATGAAAAATCTTGAGATCTCTACCCGAGAAGTTTTATGTAAAGGTCACGTTCTTTGAGACAAGCGTCAATAGGGAGTCGAGTTAATAGAAGACCTAATTTGGTTGATATTGAATTTTGAGATGAACCTTCCATCCATTAAGAAAACCAAGGGCATCATTTTAAGCTTAACTAGAGAAGGAGGAAAATTTGAGTCACCCCGATTAGGAGAGTAGAACCTAACCTTAATTGTTAGAAACTTCAGAAAGTACTTCAAGAATAGTAATGTAGAGTCCTCAAAGTTGAAAGGAAAGCCTAATAAACCTACTACTCTGAAAGAGGGAAGAGAGAAAGGGGAAGATGCTCTTGACACGAGGTTGAGAAAAAGGGGCAAAGCTTACAATGTTATGAGTGTTAAGGATTTGGACATATGGCTTCGGAATGCCCGAATCGAACAAAGAAAAATTCGCCTAAAGAAAATAAGAGAGCTATAAAGGCTAAGTGGAGCAATAGTGAAAGTGAATCAACATTGATTGATGACTTCTCTTCTCAAGATGATGAAGAGAATTTCACGACNCCTAAAGAAAATAAGAGAGCTATAAAGGCCAAGTGGAGCAATAGTGAAAGTGAATCAACATTGATTGATGACTTCTCTTCTCAAGATGATGAAGAGAATTTCACGACCTTTGTAGGTTCAATCTCTTCTTCCCCTATAGAAACTTCAATGAATGAAGTTAAGGCAACTCCTACCACGAAGGTAGAAGACTTAGCAGAAAAAATCCCTACGTGTGGAGCACTGGAGGATGAAGAGTGTTTTGAGGATATACAAGACGCATATGACCAATTGAATGTACAATTCCTCAAACAACAAAAGAAAGTGTTTTCCTTCAATGATCGGGTTAACTCAAGTAAAGAAGATAGAAAAGCACTTCATCTGGATCTCGTGAAGCCCAAGACACAAATATGTGGACTAGAGGAAGACAAGAAATCTTTCCTCGATAGAGTAAGCTTCTTTGAAAGAGAAGATTATGAGCTTGTAAAGTCTAAAAATAATCTTCTGTTAAAATGTGTAAAACTTTATAAAGATCTTCATGATTCAAATGAACTCTCTAAAAGACTTTTTCTAAGCAATGATAAGTTTGATAGAAAGTTATCTATCAGAAAAAGTGTGGGTGACAAGCGTGGTATAGCCTACACACATGAACACACCACCAACACTTCTTTCAAGATTGGGTTTGTTAAAGATAACACCAACCCATCTTCCCCACAAGAAAGCAAAAGTCCTAAAAAGGCTAAAAATGGTAAGGGAAGGCACTCAAATAAGAATGTTATTAAGGAGACACAAACCAACTATGATACGTGTTATACTTGTGGAGAATATGGTCATCACAGTAGACATTGCATGAAAAATAAAAATGTCTTAAATAAGAACCTGATGCATCTAGATAATCAATCTAAAGCATAAAACAACCAAGTGTTAAACTTTTTTAAGCTTTTAGAGAGGTCAAGTGAGTCCAAGCATAGTCATGCATCATCTTCAAATGGACCATATGCTAGAGTGCACAAAGTTCTTTCTACCCTTAAGGTCAAGGTTAATCTACACTCTTTCAGGGATAAGAAAGTTAGTCTTCTACCTATTCCCTGACCTAACCCGAGTTTTAGGAAGGAAAAACAAGTTTGAATGACTAGGGCGAACTTTGAGAAACTCATCATCTCAACCAAAGGTACAGGCTCCGAGTGCTTCTAGTAAGGTCATGACTCCTAAGAAATAGGAGATGTAAGAATATGGACCTAGGTGTTTATTAATGCATTGCATCAAACACCCTAGGGTCATATATTGTNAGAAAAGCACTTCATCTGGATCTCGTGAAGCCCAAGACACAAATATGTGGACTAGAAGAAGACAAGAAATCTTTGCTCGATAGAGTAAGCTTCTTTGAAAGAGAAGATTATGAGCTTGTAAAGTCTAAAAATAATCTTCTGTCAAAATGTGTAAAACTTTATAAAGATCTTCATGATTCAAATGAACTCTCTAAAAGACTTTTTCTAAGCAATGATAAGTTTGATAGAAAGTTATCTATCAGAAAAAGTGTGGGTGACAAGCGTGGTATAGCCTACACACATGAACACACCACCAACACTTCTTTCAAGATTGGGTTTGTTAAAGATAACACCAACCCATCATCCCCACAAGAAAGCAAAAGTCCTAAAAGGCTAAAAATGGTAAGGGAAGGCACTCAAATAAGAATGTTATTAAGGAGACACAAACCAACTATGATACGTGTTATACTTGTGGAGAATATGGTCATCACAGTAGACATTGCATGAAAAATAAAAATGTCTTAAATAAGAACCTGATGCATCTAGATAATCAATCTAAAGCATAAAACAACCAAGTGTTAAACTTTTTTAAGCTTTTAGAGAGGTCAAGTGAGTCCAAGCATAGTCATGCATCATCTTCAAATGGACCATATGCTAGAGTGCACAAAGTTCTTTCTACCCTTAAGGTCAAGGTTAATCTACACTCTTTCAGGGATAAGAAAGTTAGTCTTCTACCTATTCCCTGACCTAACCCGAGTTTTAGGAAGGAAAAACAAGTTTGAATGACTAGGGCGAACTTTGAGAAACTCATCATCTCAACCAAAGGTACAGGCTCCGAGTGCTTCTAGTAAGGTCATGACTCCTAAGAAATAGGAGATGTAAGAATATGGACCTAGGTGTTTATTAATGCATTGCATCAAACACCCTAGGGTCATATATTGTGTATATATATATTTTTTATTTTGATTTGTTTTTCTATATGAAAATTTCAAAAATAATAGAAATTTGAAAAACCCAAAAGCGAAAGAAATTGAAAAAATCCAAAAAATAGTTTTGATGTCAATTATTGACATTCATTTTTAGGATTTATGTTAATTGCTTGATTTGTTTTTTGTTTCTTGCATGTGTTATGCATATTTTTCTTTATATTTGTTTATTTGAAAAATACAAAAACATTATAAAAGAAAAGGCAAAAAAAAAAATTCTTTTGTTTATTTTTGTTTGTTAATGATCATGGTAATTTACACTTTGGTTTGCACATTTCATCCTTAAATCAAAGTTTAAATGTGCATTGCAATGAGTTATATTAAAGAATAGAGAATTTGACATAAATCTTATTACATGATTCATTAGATAAACTCTTTTTCACCTTAGTGTGCTTGGATAGCATTTAACTTTGAAAAATTCAAAACCAAGTGCACGCCTAACATTCACCTTTATACCTAGGGGTCTTATTAATTTGAACTATTAATGATCCTAAGTGACTATTAAGTGTTTGTGATAGGTGAATACGTGACTAAAGGTTAATTAAACCCTAATCTCTTAAAGATGTCAAAGGCTAAATGTGAGAAAAGAGCCAACTATGGCCAAATTTCAAAAGGTGAGGCATAAATAAATGGTTAAAATAATTGCACTCGAATTGTTGAGAGTAATTATTCTTCATTCAAATTGTTCATTTGTAAAACTCATAGACCTCATGCTAAACTTGTTTAGAAGCATATTGATAAAGTACAAAACTCATAATCGTGTTAATTGAAACTATAGAGAAAAAGGGATAAAAGAAAATGAGAGTTTTCTAAAAAGAAATATCATTAGAACACTCACTAACCGGTCATGTATACACTTAGCGATGCATTAGAACTTCATGTTAAGCTTATTAATGATTTGAACTAAGCAGAATCCTAGTGTGTCAAAGTTTGATTTCACACACGTTGCATTTGAATTAGTTTAAATTGAACAAAATTTGAATACGCGTGAGTGAATATTTTAGGTACTTATGAGAGGAATCAGGGAGATTTACTCTTAATTAGCCTAAGTATGTTACATGTGAACATTGTGAGGGAATTTTGTTCTAATACCCAAGGGGAGTATATTTTCAAACTTAGCATGAAGTCACCTATTTTATAGTTGTTTTATTTTTCACTTATTATTTTACTTGTAAACACCAATTAAGGGGAGAACTTGATATGTTTAACATTGCTATATCAATAGGTTCTCAAGCATATGGAACAAATTAGTTCTGAATATGTTATATATTTGCAATTACATGAGGTATACATAAATATGCCCTCTGTTTAACTTGGTACTTACCATACTTGTGATTGTGCTATTAATTCTCTAACATATGATACTTTTCACAAGGTTTTGATTTGAGTGTTGATATGTTGAGTACTGAAATTAGGTTTACAATTCATTTTATTCAATAGTAAACATCAAAATTCGTTTCGGTGCATTGTTTCGGTCACCTAGAAAACGAAAACGAAAACGACATATTTCGGAAACGTTTCGATCCGTTATGAAAACAGAATGAACAAAATAAAAAATTTAAAAATTATTTTTTCACAATATTGGTCGAAATATACTAAAATATCTTAAAATACCTTAAAGCATTTTGAGAAAATTGTGCAAATGAATTGAAATATAACAAAATATTTCAAAATATTATAAAATAGCTCGAAGTATTAAAATTTTAATCATCACTGATTCGTTTCGGTCTCCTTGGAAACGAAAACGTTTTGGATGTTTCGACCATTTCGAAACGATATTTTGATCATTGTTTAATAGTTTGAGTTGAAATCTTAATTTTTTACTTGAGTATTTTGTCACAAAATTACCAAAAAGGGAGATTGTTAAATATATTTGTAATTTGCTATTTCGTGAAGTCCATTGTAAATCTCAATCTATTCTATGGTCATAATGCAATAAAGATTGAAAATCCGAAAATGTCATTGAAGGGAGGAGATCATGTGTTAAAACTACATCATTTACACTCCGGTTGCACCTTCAAGCGTAGGTGTTAGGACAAAGGTAATGACCTAGATACCTAAAATGATTCATATGTTTAATAGACTTAGGAAGATTAGAGTTAAAATGGAATTAGGATTCAATCCGTGTATGACTCCTAGGTATTTTTAAATGAAAAAGATTTTCTAAGTCATTTGTGTTTTAAAAATATAGTTTGATCCATTAGTGAACTCCTCTTAAGTAACACCCTTTAGTGCTCAAGAGGACAATTTTTTTACTTTATTTTCAGCTTAAAAAACTGAGACTGTCTTATGCTCGTTAGCCTTTGCTAGAGCAATTTCTTTATGACTTAGGAAAAAAAAAGAGGANATTTGAACTATTAATGATCCTAAGTGACTATTAAGTGTTTGTGATAGGTGAATACGTGACTAAAGGTTAATTAAACCCTAATCTCTTAAAGATGTCAAAGGCTAAATGTGAGAAAAGAGCCAACTATGGCCAAATTTCAAAAGGTGAGGCATAAATAAATGGTTAAAATAATTGCACTCGAATTGTTGAGAGTAATTATTCTTCATTCAAATTGTTCATTTGTAAAACTCATAGACCTCATGCTAAACTTGTTTAGAAGCATATTGATAAAGTACAAAACTCATAATCGTGTTAATTGAAACTATAGAGAAAAAGGGATAAAAGAAAATGAGAGTTTTCTAAAAAGAAATATCATTAGAACACTCACTAACCGGTCATGTATACACTTAGCGATGCATTAGAACTTCATGTTAAGCTTATTAATGATTTGAACTAAGCAGAATCCTAGTGTGTCAAAGTTTGATTTCACACACGTTGCATTTGAATTAGTTTAAATTGAACAAAATTTGAATACGCGTGAGTGAATATTTTAGGTACTTATGAGAGGAATCAGGGAGATTTACTCTTAATTAGCCTAAGTATGTTACATGTGAACATTGTGAGGGAATTTTGTTCTAATACCCAAGGGGAGTATATTTTCAAACTTAGCATGAAGTCACCTATTTTATAGTTGTTTTATTTTTCACTTATTATTTTACTTGTAAACACCAATTAAGGGGAGAACTTGATATGTTTAACATTGCTATATCAATAGGTTCTCAAGCATATGGAACAAATTAGTTCTGAATATGTTATATATTTGCAATTACATGAGGTATACATAAATATGCCCTCTGTTTAACTTGGTACTTACCATACTTGTGATTGTGCTATTAATTCTCTAACAT